ACTGCGATATTTGCATGTGTTTGGATATTTTAATAAATTAAAATACTCTCGGAATACAATAAAAAATCTCATGCAGCACCATCCTGAGACAACGTTAGCTGAGTAAACCTACATTAAATTAACTCAAACAACAAACCATCCCACACTGGATACAAGCAGCTTGACAAAACCTAATTCCTAATTCAGAGCAAGCTAATGGCTCAGTCACAGGAGGAAAAATAGAACGGCGACCTCCTTCAATCAACCAAAAATAAATAAATAAATATTGGCTGCCTGGTGATTGCATTATTTTTTTTTTTTACATTACTGCTGCAACCTGTGGTGACTATTCAATTCAGATTTATTTATATAATGCCAAATCACGACTCCAATCACCTCCAAGCATTTTACGGTACATTGTAAGCCAAAGACCCTACAATAATACAGAGGAAACCCCAACAATCAGATCTTAGCAACACTTAGCAACAGTGAGGACTAACTTGAATTTCAGTGTAGAACATCTGACCAATGTTGTTCATTAATGCTACTTTAATATACCTGTTCCGTATTAGTATGCTGCGCATGCACGCAGTGAGACGGGGCAAGAGAGAAGGGACCCGCCCCCTGGAATGTAATGACTAACGTGTAATGGTTGCTTTGTTTCGAAGTAAAGGATGCTCGATGATATTCACGAACCCTGAGTCATTATTAAACGACAAACATGGTGTCAGAAGTGGGATTTATAGTGTCTATGTCAATTCCATTCACATAGAACATTTCTTCATCGCTGCCGTGCGCCTGCATTTCAATATGGTTTACGGGTCTCTTTTTGAATTGCCGTGTTTGTGATGACTTGCAGCATTTCTGGAAATGGTTCCATTTTTGGCACTTATGGCATTGCTGGCCATATGCTGGGCATTTGTCCCTTTTTGCCTCGTGGCTGCCCCCGCAGTTGTTACAGTTTGTGATTGCGTGAGCGAGCCTATGTTCTGGATACGTTGGCCACGTCTTCACAAGCGAGGGCTTGAAGCCTGACCCAGCAAAGACCAAAGCAATTGAAGAGATGCCCACACCTGAAAACGTCACAGCTCTCCAACGCTTCTTAGGGATGATTAATTACCTAGGAAAGTTCATTCCTAATTTCAGCGAGCTTTCAGCCCCACTTCGGGAGCTAACGTGCAAAGACGTACAGTGGTGTTGGCTCAAGCAGCATCAAGATGCATTCCATGCTTTAAAACGAAGCCTGATCAGTCCTCCTACCCTCAGATACTACGACGTAAAGAAACCTGTCACGTTAACGTGTGACGCATCGCAGTATGGACTCGGGGCTGCATGCCTCCAAGAAGGCGCCCCGATTGCCTACTCATCTCGTACTCTGACACAGACAGAAACGCGCTATGCGCAGATTGAGAAGGAGCTTCTTGCAGTCGTATTTGGTTGTTCCAAGTTTAATGATTACATCTATGGGAAACAAATCCAAATTGAAACTGATCATCAGCCATTAGTCACCAGCTTGAACAAGCCAATACATTCAGCTCCAGCCAGACTGCAACGCATGATGCTTAGGCTGCAAAAGTACAACTTTCAGATAGTGTACAAAAAAGGCTCGCAGATGTACCTCGCCGACACTTTATCCCGTGCTCCCACAACCTCGACGGATCAGAACAGTGATGAAACAGCTGACTACGAGATCATGTCGATCCAGCAAATCTCTTCTTACAGGCTGATGCAGCTAAAGGAACATACTGCCTCAGATCCAGAGCTACAGAAACTGAGCACTGTCATAATGAGAGGATGGCCTTGCAGACAAACTCAGCTGCCCACAGAACTTCGTCAATACCACCCATATCGAGACGAACTCACTCTGGAAGATGGCATTGTCATGAAAGGGCTGAAAACAGTGATTCCCAAATCTTTGCAAAAAGATTATATCGTCATCCTCCACAGAGGGCACCCAGGCATGGAAGCTACCAAACGCAGGGCCCGTGGCATTGTGTTTTGGCCCACAATGACAGCAGATATTGAGCAAGAAACAGCTGCGTGTCCAGTGTGCAACAGCACAAGGCCACATCAACAGAAGGAGCCGTTAAAGCTACATCCAGTGCTGGACATACCCTGGTCAACCGTCGCCACCGACATCTTCGAGTGGAACGGTCAACATCACCTGGTTGTAGTCGACTCTTACTCAGGTTGGTTCGAAGTAGACCTGCTTCCAGACCTAACTGCCAACACTGTCATCACAAAGCTCAAAAGACACTTTTCTGTCCATGGCAGCCCGCACAAAGTAATATCAGACAACGGCACTCAGTTCACCAGCCAACGCTTTGCAGACTTTGCTTCAGCATGGGACTTTGTTCATGTGACAAGTAGCCCAGAATACCCGCAGGCCAATGGATTGGCTGAACGTGCGGTTCGCAGTGCAAAGCAATTGATGGAAAGATCAAAGAGAGATGGAACGGATGTCTTCCTTAACCTACTCAATCTCCGCAACGTGCCACGTGACAACACACTAGGTTCCCCAGCTGAAAGGCTGATGTCAAGACAGACGCGCACGACCCTACCCGTGTGTAGACGTCTGCTCGTTCCCAGCTCCAAAAGCAACAAAACAGTTAAAACAAACCTACTTCACAAGCGCCAGGCACAAAAGAGATACTATGACAAGTCCAGCAGACCCCTCCGCCCCCTCATGCCAGGTGAGGTTGTGCGGATGCAAACGCGTCAAGGACATTACTCCTTAGGAACCATCAAGGAAGCCTGCGAAGAGCCCAGATCGTACATCGTCCAGTCAGGAGCTGGAGAGTACAGGCGAAACCGCAGACATATCCTCCCAGTCTCTGAACCGCCACCACCACACGGAGATTCCCGTGATGATTACACCGCAGCCCAACCACTGACTCCCCACAGCACATCCAAGAACCCGTGACACACACCGACGAACAAACACATAGCCACACGCAACACTTCACACAAGCCCCAGTCCAGTCCCCCTGTCGCCCGGCACGTGATGCTTACATCACACGATATGGGAGAGTCTGCAAACCAAACCCCAAGTACGAACACTAAGGCATAAGAGATGGACTGTAACACGAAAGAAAAAAAAAAAAAGTGGACAGTACACGTGATGTGATGTCAGCAAAGTTAAATGCTCACCGTGTCCTTACCAATGACACAGTTCAAGGTGTGAAGTAATTCGTTAATGTTTAGGCTAGAATGTTATGATATGGACATGTTGTTAATGTGTTATTGCTAAAGGTGTTGTTAGCAGCTTATACAGCCATAAGCTAAAGAGAGGGGATGTAGAACATCTGACCAATGTTGTTCATTAATGCTACTTTAATATACCTGTTCCGTATTAGTATGCTGCGCATGCACGCAGTGAGACGGGGCAAGAGAAAAGGGACCCGCCCCCTGGAATGTGATGACTAACGTGTAATGGTTGCTTTGTTTCGAAGTAAATGATGCTCGATGATATTCACGAACCCTGAGTCATTATTAAACGACAAACATTCAGTAAAAGAAACCTCAGGCAGAAGTCTGAGGGTCGACTAAATGGTTTCCCATTATTATTACTGTATTATCAGAAACAAATTACATGTAATTGCCAACTTGACCCCATTCAATCGCAGACTGATAGCAAACTGACTCCCTCTTATGGCGGGCTTTAGTAACAGTGCTGGCATGCTTGGAAACAAAAAAGTGAAGTGAGATAACTATCTTATTTGATAAAGAGACGATGACAAAGTTTAACTCTGAGGACATAATTTGCAGTTTAACAATAAGGTGATGGATCCTTTAAATATGTTATTGCAGTACTCGGTATATGGCGAAATGTTATAAATGTCAATGATATCGTATCTTAGGGTGTTTGGTGACTCCCACCTATATAAAAAGCAATGAGGTCCTCGGTTTTTCTCCTTAAGTTGACAAAGGCCGATGTGGCATCGGGTGAACTGAGCCTCATTTAGATGACTAGACGAGTGTTTACACACACCTAGACTGATACGGGGAGATTTATAGATCACGTCACATGTGCACGTGGGGTTTTGAGACTGTCTTCGGGCTGCCAGCTTCTACCCAGATCCACAAATGTAAGCAGCATTCACGTACTAACAGAAAACTGGGACATTTGGGCTTTCTGTGGAATTCCCCAATTTAAGATTACAGACGCCATATAGGAGCCTAGATGTAATCATTCTACATCACCTGGATTAAATCTATATTCAAAAATGAGCAAGAGTTATCCTATACTCGCTTCAGAGAAGGAGCTCTAACTGACCGTTTTACATCAGAAGAACATCCAGCAAGTAGTGCAGGTTATTTAAACCATATATTAACTTTCACAGGCTATTACTCGTTTTCTAGTCGAGGGATGATATATGAAAAACACATGAAGCTCAGATGTCCCAGTTCTCCACCCTCACTTGAAAGCAGCTTACATTTGGCAGCTTAAAAATTGTCTCCAAAATCCACGTGCACATGTGACGGGATCTGTGCGTGTCACCGGGGATTTATACTTATGTGTAGGGATGTCGTAACCCCTTCCCCCGAATCCTACGACGTCACCAGACGTGCACCAGCTTACTGGAAATGTAAGTACAGGTGGCGTCGAAGGAGCTGGCAGCTGCTGTGATTGGACTGTGGATCCCTGCTATGCATTTCCGGCGGCTACCTGTTCGCCGCAGTTTTTGAATTTATCACCGAGAATAATAATAATCATCATCACCTCAGTATAAAGACTCACAAACCTTGGATAAGTGAAGGAAAAAGGATGGATGGAGATGTTAGGGAGATAGTTTCGGCAATCAGTATGGATGTGATGAAATATACAAAGAAGTGGCAGAGGGCCGGGGGAGGGGTGGCGAGGGACAAAAAATTAGCCCCAGGGGGAGACAAAAAAGCAGCTGACCACTACAAAGAGTGGGGACCCAAGAGGGGGAAAGCCCCGGCATTTAAATTGTTTCCATCGTGGCTGACACCGCATATAAAACACCGGGACAGACGATAAGGTAATTACAGGGAACACCACGCAAAAGCTGGCAACTACGTCGGTCAGTTACGTAGCTTACGTCGTCAGCTGTACAAAGGTTCACCGCAGAAGTGATGATTAGACTTCTGCGATCAACAGGCGATTCGTGCACGGCTATTTAACGAGCTGTAAGTGAGCGAAAAGAACATCGCAAGTATTTGTAGACATTTGTGCGCGCTGGAAGTTGAAAATAAAAAGCTAAAATAGCAGATTTGTGAAGTTTAAATTATTACTATTTATTCACATTGAATCTCTTTAGATTAATCTGTATTTGTGTTTCGATTGGAGCAGGTATTTGCCAGGGCTTACAATTTACGCACAAGTGGTTGTACACTAATCTTGGTTCAGACTTGTGGGTCGGCAGCTGATCCGTGGGATCCAGACGGGACGGGAGGAAAAACCAGAACAAGGCAAAGCAGGAATTTCTGGAGTTTCTTAAGGAAAAAATGACTAAACCTAATTACTCCGGCACCTATCATATGGTGGAGCAGGAGAATGTGGACGCCTACCTGACAGGTTTAGGTACCAGTCTTTATGCAGCATATTTTATAGTATTATTACCATCAAATGTTTAACGGGTAAAACCCTCTCATTTAACATTCATCTTTCATGCGTTTATCTTTAAATAATTGTTTATATGTTGACTGATTCATAATCTTCAGTGTCTGGTTTAGTGATGTGGACTATCTACATTTCCAGCAGCACATTAGTGTAATGAAATCACCACCTTTGACCCACTTACACCCTCACAAGTGTGTGTGTTCACTCCACCTGCAGTGTCTGAGGTAGAAAAGATAAGTGTGGCTTACAAAATCTTTCCCTCTTTTCTCCCAGATGTTAATGTTGCTTTGAGGAAGATCGTGTGTATGTTGAAGCCCACTAAAGAGATCATCCATGACCCAGAGACAGGAGCCGTGAAAATCAACACAATCACTACCTTCAAGAATTTCAGCATGGATTTTAATATTGGAAAAGAATTTACTGAGGACCTGAGGATAGTGGATGGCCGTACCTGTCAGGTGTGTGTTGTGTTTTTTCCAAAGTTTGCTTTGAAGGTTAGGTACTTGAGTAAAGTCTGTACACTTCCCGCTGGGATTATTCCATAACCACTCGTTGCTGTTTAAAAACCCAGAATAAGAAACATTCAGCTCCTTCCCAAGTAACCATTCAATGATGGGCTATGATGATATTCTTCAGCTGAATGCTAAACAGAGACGACTCATATCCCAGATTTATGAACTTATCAGTAACCTTAATCCGTGCACCACTGACCGTCTGAGACTGGGACACTGACTTGGGGATAACTTTAACTGATGAGCCCTGGAACTCTGTCCTAAACTTGGTGCGCTAATCATCTGTCTTTGCTGGTGCAAAGTGTTCACTTAACTAATGCTAGATTAGTAAGGATTTATCCCAATGTTGACCCGAAATGTCCTCGGTGAGAGTCCAGACAGCAGATCTGACACACATGTGTTGGTTGTGCCCGGGATTGCCCTCCTTATGGTGAGGAATTTTTAAAGCATTTGGTGAAATGTTTAAAATGTAATGTGACCCTGAGGCGGGGTTTGTGCACATTTGCCAGCCAGGACTCGTGTTATTGTGGCTTTTACCACTTTGCTTGTAAAATGCTTGAGTTTTCAGAAGTGGGAAGTGTGTCATGGCCCAAACAGAGGAGGTTCCTCTGTTGTATTGATTTGATTTATTGATTTACTGATGCTCATCAGTCTGGAGAGGTTATAAAACCATCCTTAAAGAGTTTGTCTCGACAACAGTGACAGTGTTCAGGTTACTGAGTCTAACATCAGCAGAACATTAAACGGCGATAGAGTCCATCGTAGCAGCGCAAACTCGACCTGCAGATTGCTAAAGATCTCACTGGAAAACCAGAAGGCTGTTTGAACTCGAATTCATGTATAGATGATGCTGAAGTAGAACTTTTTTTTTTTAGTATGAAATAAGAAGTCTTGTGTTTGGACAAAGGAAATGGCGATGGTGGCGTCATGTTTTGGATCGGTTTTTGTGCATTTAGTCTTAAACAACTGGATGAATTCTGAATTACACCAGAAAAGTCTCAAGGAGGTGACAGGACCCCTGTCTGTGGATTAAATCTCAGGAGGAAATGGATCATAAAACAAAAACATCACCCCAAACTCACAAGTTGTTCCACCAAAGTGATGTTAAGGAGATCAAAGATGTTTTGGAAAGTCAAAGCCCAAACTATTATCTTTAAATGTTCTTTTTTTTTTAGTTATTGCTGTCTACAGGGTGTCACATGATACAAAAGATGCAAAGATACAAAAATATTGGATCATTTTTTATCAGGTCCAACTAATATATTCATGTAATTTTTAAACAAATATCTAAAATCTGATGTTTTTGGTCACATCTTTGAAAAAATGAAGTATATTTTAAAGGCTCCATGACCTTTCACGCATCACTGTATTAGTCTCCCCCCCCCGCCCCCCTTTTTTTTTGCTTTGCATAAAGCTTCTTGTCTCTTTGTGTGGCTGAGTGTTGTGTGAGCTACTTTACATGCTAATGTTTCACACTAACGGCATCTCTGTGGTTACACAGACTACAGTAGATTGGGACGGAGACAAGCTGGTTTGTGTACAGCGAGGCGAGAAAGAGGGACGAGGCTGGACGCACTGGCTGGAGGGCGACAAGCTGCATTTGGTAAGGATGTACGAGGGGAAGAAGAGGCCAGTGCAGAGAGAAAGCAAGGAAGAGGGAAGAAGGAAAATGAAAGCTTAAAGGGAAGTGATGGAGAAATTGATATGCTAAATGAGGGAGGGTATTCAAATAAGGCAGGTTTTAGAAGTTATTCATTGGCTAATTCTGTTACTGTCTTTGTGAGAAAAGGTTTTTATTAAGAGGTCTGTGGAGTTTGTATGTGCCTAAAAGGGGAAAGTCCATCACCTAACAAAGGAGTACACACAAACTGAATGCACAAGTGCTACAGAAGCTCAGAGGCACATTTGTTCTAGAACAGTTTAAACTCATAGCTTATCTTTCATTGCTGGTTACGTTTTCAAACGGTCAGCATTCTCCCACTAAAAAGCTCTCACAAATTTAGAGAAAGTGTTGCCGATGCTAAACTCAATATGCTGGGGAATACCAGCGACGGTTTCAGAGGTTACACAAAGGGAACAGTGAGGGACTAATGAAGAGGTGGAGGAGGAAAGTGGGAGCGGGCTGAAAAGACCTGATGAATAGATGTGAAAGAGTGGAAGACGGATTATGAGGTCAAAGCATGAGCTGGTGAGGGGGGTGTTCTGGACAGAATCCCAAATGTTCTTGTTGCTTCTCACCATTCATTTACACCCTCTCACCTCATGTTTTTTTTCCCTCTTCTTCTCCGTCTCTTCTCTGCAGGAAATGAGAGTTCAAGGCGTCGCAGCAAAGCAAGTCTTCAAGAAGGCTGAATGAAGTCACTGAAAATGTTTTACAGTCAATAGTCTCATTTTAAAGGTAGCCGGTACGAGAGTCGTGTATATAGCATTATTTATTAACAATATATTTGAAGTACAACAGCAAAACTGAATATTTGTGGAAAAAAACATTGTTCTGAGAGAAGAGAGTTGTAGAGCTTTTGTAAAGGTCTTTCCCTATGTTGCACAATCTTATAAAGAAGTGATGCATCTGTCATGTTTCTTATTTTAAATGATAAGGTGTGTGTGTGTGTGTGTGTGTGTGTGTGCGCGCGCGTATGTGCGTATGTGTGTGCGTGCATGTTGCTGCATCTTCATATCTAAAGTGATTTTTATGCATTATTGCACTGGAACCCTGAACTTCTACAGAAATTACCAAATGGAAGTGCATGTGAAAACTGTCTGGAACAGTCGGATCGGACGCTAGCTGATCTTTAACCTCCGGCTTCCTGGTTCAAAGTCCGCGTGATGTCACATTGCGCCCGTGTGACAGTAGAACACCTAAATATGCATTCACTGCCAGTGAGTGGGCGTCATGCATCCTGCCTCCTGCACTCGCTTTCAGCATTGCAAAGGCTGAAGAGGGGAAACTGGCGAGTACACGCTCGCGCTCAGCAGAGTGACCATGCTCTCTGCTCAGCTGCACTCAATCAAGATGCCAGAGGAGGGCTGAGAGTCAGTAGTGTGTGAATGTATGAGTGATGAACTGAAAGGTTGCAAGAAGGCATCTGAATTAATTCAATGACTGCAGGTGCTATTTTATGTAAAATTTATTACAGAAAACATCAAAATTGCCATAAAGTGACTGCAAGCACAAAACTGAAGGGATCATACATCTTCAGCTTTTAAATACATCATGTCCTCCAAATGTTAGAGACGTATCTGATTACATTTTATTTTTTCCCTTTAAAATGTCCAATTTTAGAACATGTTTCTTTTATTAGCATGAAGACAACGTCTGTTGTGTTTGTTATAACCATTACTACATCACCTGTTTCCAAACTTCAGTGTTTTTGCTAGGGTGACCAGATGTCCCTTTTTTTTGTGGGACGCCGCAGCAGTTTTATGACATCTCCCACATACAGAAGCAAAGTCCCACATTTACACGGCACTTTCCTAAACTCTGTTTTGTTTTTTGTTATTTTTTAGCCTTCCCTGAGTTTAAAGAACGCAGGGAAGGCTTTTTATTATATTTAACTGGAGGTTAGCAAGAAGTCACCAAAAAGTTAGCAGCTTGTTTAATCTGATGGAATCTACCACAAAGAAAATGATTTGGCAGTTTATACTGAGAAATACAATTTTTGTCTCTTTAGATAAAATTATACTTCAATTTCTCAGATGGGGAAATATGGCACGAAGTGACACAGTGCATGTGTGTTATAATTGACTAGAAAAATCGTATTTTTTTTTAGATATAGCTAATATAAGAACATGAATCATGAATACAGGGTTAAATAAGGACTACTGCATAACAGGTTAAGTTAGTTGGCCTTTACATGCTAGACTCATGTCTGATTTATTGTAATTTTTTTTTTAAGTTGGGCATCTGGTCACCCTAATCATAATTCTGATGATCACACAAGCCTAAGATGTAATATTTCCTTCAGTTGATTTGCTTGTTAAGGTCAGTTCTCCATTAGTAGTTTAACGTTTGGCACCTGCGCCATTTCTTCATCTTTTTTCCTCGAATATAAAAAGTACAGCATAAAAAAGTAAAAGCAAATAACTTTTATATTTTTCAATTGTTTCCTTTTTTAATGTTTTGTATAATTAAAACTACACACTAGAAAATTACACTTAAAAAAAATCACATTTATTCTAATTAATATCTAGAGACTCATTACCTCAAAATAAAATGCTTCTGTTCTGGGGGATACATTAAGGCTGAGACTGTTGGATTTTTATAATGTCACGTAGGTTGCATTTGTCAAGTCTTTCCATACTTAACAAGCTTGTAAACAATTTTAAGACAATTTTAACAGAAACATAGAAAAGCAAACAAACATAAAAATAATATGCTCAGAAAAAAATTGCTAGCACCTTTAGACAAACGTGTCTGCTAAATAAATTTTTTCCCTACTTGAAAGGATGATGCTTCTCTTTTCTCTCTTCCAGCTCAATCAGCTGTAACTGTTCAAACTTCTTTTATCTGAGAAGCTGCTTACAATGATGCTTTCAGACTTTCTCTTTCACTGTTAGCTGTCATTTCAGTGTTTAACTCAAATAACTTAAACCTCTTATTTTTAAAGCTTAAATTACAAATAAACTTGCAAACACCCTCACCATATGGTCCACATATGGTTAAGTGTCTACCAAAGGTCATCTGCTCATGTCACAGCTGTTCCTCCACCCCTGACTTCTTCCTGGATGATGGAGGGGCTGGAAGAAAGGATGGCACAGAGCGGAGGAAAGAGAAATACGCTTTGAGGGCTCGTACTCCAGCATCCTCTCTAGGAGATCGAAAAAATGGTGGTGTTCTCTCCCGTGTGATAACAAGTATTCCTGTAAAACAAGGAGAGAGACATTATATTCAAATGGTGGGCACCGAGCAGATAATGCTTATCTGTGGTCCGCCTGCCCACGGCTCACCCTTAACGGCTTGCATTTGGATTTGACGTAGCGTCCGGCTTTGGAGCACTCGTTCCAGTCTAGATGTCCACGGTGGAAATACTTCTGCTTTCTGAGAATCAAAATGAAGAGTCGTCAGATCAAAGTGTTTCAGAGTTTGTGACAATGAGAGGGTGCACGAGCGGGATACCTGCTCCTCTGAATCATCCTCTGAGGAATCGGTCCCTGTACTCTCTCTATCATAGCAAGATGCTCCTTGTTGTCATGAGTCTGTAAGTGGACACAAGAGGAAGTAAAGACCATGACAAATAAAAAGACAAAGTTCGTCTTACTTTTATGTCGAATGTGTGACCTGGAAGAGTGTGAACCCTTTGTAGTATTCAAACAGGATGCAGCCGATACTCCACACATCACACGGTTGACTCCAACCCAACTCTGTGGAAGAAGGAATAGCTTTGTTACCAACTGGACTGGGCAGGTCCTGGATACTCCCCGAGCTAAAATGACATTTCTTACCAAGTATGACCTCTGGGGCTCGGTAGTGACGAGTAGAGATGATGACAGAGTGGTGTTCGTGGTCAAAGGTGGCGCTGCCGAAGTCGACGAGCCGCACCGTGGTGTCGTTTACCCGCCTTTCATTGCACTTCTAAATGGGCGACAGGTGGAAACACTGTAAACCCTCCCAACTTCGCTCATTTAAAGTATAATCTTTGTATTTTCCTGCTATTGATGATGCTTTGATAAAAAATGATAAAGAGCATTAGGCTTGCGCTAATGTGATGAAAATAACAAAAAGTTATGAACAATTTTACAATACTGCAACACGGTAGGACAAAACAAGAACGAGTCTATCAGATTAGAAAAACAGCAACAACAAAAACGCTACTATCGGCTGTTTCCATGTGGACAAGGGGTCACTGTAGCTGGTAGCTCTGCATGTTTGATTTGGTTGCGTTTTACAGCAGATGCCCTTCGTGACACAACCCCACCAGCAGATAAACCCCCTTAATCTCCCACTTCTTTTTTGGTTGGATTAAACTAATTAGATTAAACATCTCAATCAACTAACTGAATCAATGTCTCACAACGTCTCATTTAACCCAGTTAACCTTAAAAAACGCTTGGTGGATTTAACTAATTCCAAGAAAGTCAACAAGCTTGTTCTCCCTTTTTTGCTAAATGCAACACTGTGTCTCCACTTTGGTCTTGTCTGTTCACAGGACATTGGTCCAGAAGCCATGTGATTTGTTCCGATGCAAACCAAGCCATGGTGCCGTCATAAAGTTTAATAAGCTTGGACATCCTGATTTAACAGGAAGCAGTAAGGGTGTATTTAGTTTTCGTTTTTATGTGGCTGTGAAAAACGAAGAAAAAGTGGAGATTCCCATAAATAAAAATTCAGCAATATGTCTCAGAGCTGCCACATATTTTCCTGCAAAGGTCAACAAACAAGCTGCAGCCTTCCTGGATAAATATGAGATTATAAAAAGCATACATGTGGGTGTCTGATTTCTGCTGAAACAAATTTGCACCCAAATGAAAAGCTGCATTTTTCTGCCATCATTAATCCCCGCTTTTTCTACCATCCCCTGAAGCCCTCAGCCATCACGCCTGCAGCCATTTCTGACCTTCTCGGCGTTGTATATGAGGGAGTAGTCCGAGTTGACGAAGAGGATGTTCTCAGGCTTCAGGTCAGTGTGAGTCAGCTTGTTGTCATGGAGAACTGCAGAGGAAACGGGAGAGAAGTTCAGATGAGGAAGTTCATCATGAGCAGACACCTCAAATGTGGTTGATTGTAGACAGCTGGATGTGACAGATTTACAGCAGCGAATTAAATGTTAGTAGATAGGATATTACAAAGATTATATATCAGAAACCCGAATGAAGCCTGTCTGATGAAGTGTTGGTTTAATTAAAGCAGAGGGACTCTTTGATGGTGTGATGCATTCCAGCTGAGGAGTAACCTCCATGGCCAAAAACTGAACCCGAGGTGAAGCTGCCAAAAACTACAGCTTCTCTAATGGCCACTTGAGGCCAGTTCCAAAAGCAAGTCAATCCCCATGACCCCATGTGTTAAGACACATGTTTACAGTACAAAAAAACCTTCGGCTTCTGTGGATAGTTTCCACTTTCATAACAACGCTATGGAGCTGACCTTTTTGTAATAACTCATCCACTTGGATACTAGAGTTAAGGATGTTGCTGCTTTGATTGGCAGGTCTCCCAACACATGCAGCTGGAGCCGAGTGGCATTTGAGTTTTTAAAAAAGCTTTTAAACAGAGAAATTTAATATTATTACATCCTGTGTGGTACAGCCCAGCTTCAGGTTTAGTTTGCAATATCTGTGCATTGCACGTGCATCTAAAAATGTGATACCTCTTGTCTCCAAAAAACGAAAAACAAAAACATTTCAATGACCAAAAAAGTAGCATTAAACTAATGTAAACCAATGTGTGAAGTCACAGTGGATGAACCCATCTTCTATAAAATCTGTGGTTGCAGCTCATCTTTTGTGCTGTTTATGTTTAAATATTTAGGAGTGCATGCTCTGCTTTTATTTTGGAGAATCGTAGCCCGTGGTTTACAGCATCCTGTCTCATTCTGAAGTTAATTTGCCAGCATGATATCAAGCAAATGATACCATGTTATGGCTACATAACAAATGGTTGTACTGAATATGAAATTAATATTTGATATGACTAAATTATAAATAGCAGACTTGTCTGAGATTTGCAAATGATTGCGTTCGGTTATTTACTAGAATTAATCACTGAATGATATCAATCATCGTGAATGAAATCAATCACTCACTGCCCTAACTGCTCCTGCGTCTTGCTCTAATTTGCCGTGTTTAATCTGCTTAGTCTCATCCCTGGCATTGATGCAGAGGTGCAGCAGAAAAGGGAAAGTGGTGCTGCACACTCTGTATGATGCATATTGGACTCACAGCTGACAGCGTGGCAGATCTGCTGGGCCATGTGTCGGATCTGGTTAATTGGATACGGCAGGAAGTTGTTTGATTTCAAGAAGTCAAATGTGCTGAGAGACAGCAGCTCAAAGGAGATGCACACATGGCCGTAGTAGTTAAACCAGTTGAGCATCTGCACGCAGTTACTGATGAGGAAGAGAAACAGAGGGTGAAACATAAAGCACATGAAACGGGTAACAGCGTTTCAATCACAGACTCACTGTTTGTTGTGCGGATCCTTCTCACTGATCTTCTCCAGGACGTTGATTTCCAATTTGGCTGCTTCTCTGTATTTGTCCTGGTTCTTAATGATCTTCAATGCAATTTGATTTCCTCCTCTGTTTTTAAACACTGTTTTAAAAAAAAAAATAACCCCCCCACCCCCGCACACACTGCACATTGATTCAACTTGAAACTTCTGATGAAAAACCTACCTGCTGTGGTCCACACACTGAACCACTTTCCCAAAGGTCCCCTCACCTAAAGTGTCGACTATCTCATCTGCAAGACAGATAAAGATCAGCTTAATGACGGAGCACCGTAACGAGGCTGCTTACTCTTCCTACATCTGTGCTGCAACCTACATCTGTCTTCAAGGACGTCACCACTTTTGTAGATCAGGTGACCATTTTCAGAGTCCCTCTCACTGTCATTTGCAGCCCGGTCGCTTCTTCTCTGCAAACAAAGTCAGCCACATTCATGACAAGGTGGAGCAAAAGATCAAAAAAACATCAACCTGCTTCTGTCACACCCCACCTAAAAACACACCGAGTAACATCTGACCTCTGGGTCTGTAAGGAGAAAGGTCACCAGCTGGACATACCCGTGCACTCAAGCTTGCATGGTTACAGAAGCTCACACAGCTTTGTGTACGTCCTCCTGCTGAGGCTGTCCTAATGCAGCCATGATTAATGCATTAAGGTCGATCTCAAAGACCTGAGCCTGCCCTAAAGGGGGCTCATAAGAAAATGCCAGATGACTCTCTTTGGAGGAGCTGAGGCTCTATTTCCATCCACATTCTGAGACTGTTATTAATATCAGAAGCTCAGCATGTGAGTAACTGACACTTAGCGCAGGACATGGGCCACTGACATACATAAACACAACCAATCTGCACATTCATTGTTAGAAAGCTGGTGATCTTTAAGAGATCAACACATAGTGCAGCTGGTTAAAAGTAAATCACACAGACTTAGAAAGAGACACAAAAACATGTTCAAAGAATGCAGATACTCACAGAAAGGCAGAGGCAAATACAGTCCAGAAAACCCTTAAACAGAGAATGCAGCTCTGTCTTTCCCATTGCACAGCAGTGCAGATCTACTCAGAGAAAAGACGAGCCTGAGTGGAAGAGAGGCGGATGAAGGGATGCTGCACGGGAGGTGAAGGCGAGATGCAGGTGAGGTAGCGGCAGGAACAAAAGGCGATGAGGAGATGTGGAGAGGAAAAGCGCCAAGGTCAGCACGATAAATAGTCAAGTAGCAGCACGGGAACAAACTGAAGGACGAGGAGTTGTGAAAAAATAAAAAATAGCCTGCAGTGTTGTCAGCTGAAACCAGAAGTGAAAGGAAGACACGATGCCGAAGCTTCACCACGAAAGTGACAAAAGAAGAAAGAATATCTTAGGGAGAATAGAGAAAAAGTAAAAGGCAAACACTGAAAGTAAGCGAACACGACAGCTGAAGCAGACAAACACAAAAAGTGAGGAACAGACGGACAGATAGGAGGGCGAGCTGAGACAGACGCTAAGAATAAACTTTGGTCACAACCCCCTGAGAAAGTTTTCAGATGAGAATCAAGATGTGGGCACAGGGGCTGAGTGGATCCAGTTTCACTCAACTTACTTCCTCTCCTCCTTGCACCTCCTTAACCCCGGCGGTATGATTTTCCACACCCGTCCTCCTCCGCACGCTACATATACTTTGTTGCGTGCATGCGGCGCCCACTTTCGTCACAGAAATAACTCACAGAGGTCACAAAAATTCATTTATTTTGCAGTTCAACAGAACACAGCACAGTTCAACTGAGTGCACAGAACAACAACGACAACACTTCTGTTTGATTGCAGATAAAACAATAAAAATTGTTAAAATATTTATCAGAAATCTCATAAACCTGGTAGCACTAAGGAACAATTATAAAAACAACACTTAATCGCATTAAAAGCTCGATAAAATGCTTTTTAAACCCTTCTCGTGAAATGATCTCTCACAAAACACCGCTTTGTATTTATGATGCTGTTGAACACGAAGTTTCCAGTCTGGCTTTAAGATGGGACGAGTCCGATCAGGAGGCTCAGCGCTGCTTCGCTGCTTCCATGTTACAAAGGCAGATGTATTTCTTCATAGTTGGAGCCACGAAATATGAAGATGTCACCATAAGGCTCATCCTGCTCCACACGCAGCTTCCTGGCAGATAAAGATGCTACCCACCAACACAACACACACACACATAAACGGTCACTGAAGCACAGAAAAGATCTCATGTTTTTAAAGCAAATTACTTTTCCATGAATGTACACAAGTCACCAGTATGTTTGTTCATCAGTTCATTCCTAAAGCTTCCACTAGTGACACTGTTTGTTATTTCAACCTTTATAAACTGAAGGTCACGGGCCAGGGACCGCCACAGCCTTGGCGCTGTACCATTAATACAATTTTAACATGAGTGACATGACAGTTCGATGATAAGTGAAAGTGCCTGCTTACCCAGAAGCCGCTGAAAAACATTGCTGACAGTTTTGCGGTTGACCTCGGGCGGCAAGAGGGACTGAAAAAGCAGAGGCTCTACTTCACCTTCGGCCAATTCTGGCAGCAACCTGGCAACAAACAAACCACATTCCTGTCTCCAAATCGAACTCAAACATCGGGACACACACTAAAGAGAGAGTCGTCTCTGTTTTTCTGCTGGTTATTACCGAGGTGACTCCGCGGCTACTCTCCCAGGCAACTCGTCCGACACCTCTGGGATGTCCCTCAGTGTAGAAATAGACCTGGAGAGAGTGGACCTGCCAAATGATGGGTGCACATGAGTGTGATCGCTCACACACACACACCTGCACATCAACACACACAGAGATCTTCTTTGATATTTACTTACCCTTCGGATAGATATAAGGGGGAGATCTCTCGAGACACCTCTCTCTGGTCACTGCCCTCCAGTGGCAGTGCACCCTGGGCTGGATGTATACATGCATTTTAAAATGAATGCATCTTATCGTATTTTAAAAGCCATTAGTGTTACACGCCTGACCTGACCTCTGACCTCAGGCTCACCCCATGTGAATGCACAGAAGGTTTTAGCTTGTGCCAAATAAATCTGCAATGCTAACACACTGAGGACAAAATGTTACATCCAGTTAAGCTAAAACACACACACACACACACACACACACACACACACACACACACACACACACACACACACAAACCTGCTAATTTAAACCTAAAATTGTGAATTTCTACCTTTAATTCAAAGACTGTATACAAAGATGGACGTAACTATTTTTATGACACTCAGTAGTTATTCAGGTCATGTTGAAGCCTCAGCCCCTTGCTAATTACTAACCGTGGCGGATGGCTTGGAGCCTGGTTCTGCAGGAGGTTTCTTCCTGTTAAAAGGGAGTTTTTCCTTCCCACTGTTGCCAAGTGCTTGCTCATAGCGGGTCATTTGATTATTGTGGGTGTTTCTTGTTTATTTGTTTAACAAAGTTGGGTAGCTTACAGTATAAAGCACCTTGTGAGACAGTTGTTGTGAACTGGTGCTTTAAATAAAACTGAGTGTAACTGAATGTTTGTGATTTGTGGTGTGTTGAACTCATGTGTGATTAGCGAGTGGGTTGGGTGAGTGATTTAAAATTCACGACACTGCACACAGTAGCAGCATGCAAGGTAATTGGTGCTTGAGATCTTAAACCCTTCAGGAAAGTGTTTACTAAGATATCAGGATAGTGCAACTTATGGTGTCGCCCCCTGCTGGTCATGACTTCATCACTAGCTTTAGGTTTTAGAACTGGAATCTACATCCATCTTTGTATACCGGTGATAATCTTTGATAATCTTACCTGAAATATCAAGCATCTCTGATTCTGCCATTTCTCTGAGGACCTGCTTCACGCAAAGACACAAGTAATGAGTTAACAACTGTGAGTGTTTTTCCATCTCCTGCATTAAAAGCCTTTGCAGACATCCCTGCCAATCGCTGCCCACGTAACAAAACGCTTTTCCACACCTCTCTTTCGGGAACCTCGAGCATCTCACGCTCTCTCTCCCTTTCAGAATCAGTGGATTCGGGGCCTCGCTCCCCAACTTGCAGGTCCGAGCCCGAGAGGGGTGTGACGGTTGCACTCTGTCTCCATAGAAACTGAACCTCTTCAGGCAAGACTGCAGGGGAAAATAGCTTCGTGGTTTATTTTTGAAAAGGTTACTTGAGTCACACCATTAATAGAGCTGCAGCGGCCGCTGAATATAAGAAGTGAGGGGAATAAATAGAATTCAAGGTTCCACGTGAAGCTTTTACTGCAACAATTTAGAGGAGCCAGCATTTAAAATATTAGCAGTTAGATTATTAGAAGCCTGTAATTAGAAAAGAAAGGAGCTCGCAGCATAGTCCATGGCCATACTAGAAAACCAACAGTGCACAGCTCTACCTGATTTCCATCTAATGAGTAAGGTATAAAGGGGGGTGAGATTTAAACAGATGTTTCTGGGGTGACGAGAGGATGCTTCGCTCTATTTTTAGCAGCTGTGATACTGACAGGTGCAGGGCTTGTTGAAGAGATCAGCAGCAGGAAGGATCCTTTGAAAGGAAAGCGGGGCGAGGAGTGGTCGCCTCGTCTCGGTCAAAGAGTCGTCGATCTGTCGCTGCACATCGTCCTGGGAGAGCTGCGTCACCGGGTCAAAGAAGATCAGCTGCCTCCTTCTCCTCTTCCTCTTTTTCTTCTCTGGTGAAGCCACATCCTGGGGGCGAGGGAAATAGATTGACTAAAGGGGACCAGAGATTTGTAAGTTGTAGCTAATTTGCTATTTCATCTAGGGTTTGAGAGTAACGAAATTTCTATTCTCTGTATGTCCTGTACATGTGGCAGAATTGACAAATAAAGTTGACTTTGACTTGACTTTGACTAATGTCTTGTTTTTATGTTATGACTTAGTAAAAGAGGGTTAGGGAGATTTTTCAAAAGGGGGTGGGGGTAGCAAGCCTACAAAATATTCCTCCAGTTGGTGTTAATCTTCCACCAGAATGGAAAGCTCTCAGGGAAGCTTCACACTCAGTTTTAAGACATTTCTATACCTATTCAAGACCTAAACAAAGCAAAACAGTAACTTTCCCTTTAAAACTAGAACTGTAATCTCTGAATAACTGATTCCAAAGATTTCAGCTGGTGACTATGGACTCTATACAGTCTCAGCAAAGTATCATACGCAAGCCACTTTATTAAGTACAGCCATTTAACTTCTTTTTAACACAAACATCTAATCAAATGGAAGCAACTTTGCATATTTAGAATTGGAAGCATTTATGATTCCAGGTTGGGACTGCCTAAAGACAGCACTCCACTGCTGAAACCTGGGATCTTCAGTCTAAAGCTCTCCCAACTGAGCTATTTCAAAACCGTTTATAGCTCTTTCTGTTTTTGTTAAATACATTAAATATTTCTGTCATTTAAGTAAAACCCACAAAAGCCAGCACCTCCAACTCCAGACTTCTTAGACGCCTTTCACGTTCCTTTGCTGCAGAGGGCGGAGCAGGCAGGCCGGGCACAGAGACGGGAGTGAGCTGGTCTGAGGGGGGCTTCTCTGCGGGCAGGCCTGGCTCTTCCTGAGGCAACAAAATAGCCTCCTCACTGGAAAGAGTAGTGGGCTGCAACCTGACACATGTAAAAACACACTAAGTGGATCACTGTTTGTCTGTCATGGTATTTTCTGTTTACATAAGTGTCTCTAAGTTACTCTAGAGTGGATCCCGTGAGCTCCTTTGCTCCGTGTTTCTCCAGGTCGCCCTCTCGTTCCTCCCGTTCCACCTCTTTTTCTTGTTCCCCTGCTGCCACCTTTTCTCCCGGTATCTCCAAATCTCCTGTTAGAAAAGATTATAGAGTATGTTATGTCCCATTCTACGTTTTTCTTTTCTTGAAAATGCAAAATCACAGAAGCTTTTTGCTACACACCTTCTGGAAAGTGATCTGTTTGTGCCAGCAGGAAGTCAATAGTATCTGGATGGTCATCAACCAGCTCTGCACCCTCAAACTAGCAGTGAAATAAGGCAGATGATGAGCAGAGATATTACACTGAAGATCTGTTTCCTTTTTACTCCCCTACCTCTGTAACGGGGATACCAACAGGCTCCGCCTCTCTCAGAGTGATGGCCTCTGGAGACACGGTTATACCTGCGAAAACAGAGTCGTGAATACACATTAACATAAAAGTCAGCATCAACTCCACAGAGGCCAGCAGAAGCTATGACTAATCATGTTTAAATTAAAGTGCTCTCCTCTGCTGAGTGAAATTTAGCTGCACAACCCTTCCTGACTCTGAGGCATCACTTTCTGCAAATTAAGTGTTTGAAGGCACTCTGCTCCGCTCTGCTTTGACCTGTCGTTTTCTTTCTGCTCCTCATGTCTGGCTGGATTTGCAGTGTGAGCTCATGCAGGGACGTGCGCATGCTGCACATCCCTGAACACATTTCTACAGAAAAATAAGCCATGTGAGCAGATATTATTTGTACAACTAGTGCAGGTGTATCTGCTTAAAGTGCAAAAGGTTCCTGCTTCTATAGGAATTAAGAAGATAAGTAGGCGCTGCTAAATAAACTTGATTTGATTAACAATATTCGTGCCAAAGATGAAATAAGATGCAATAGTGATTAAAAAAAGCTTTCTGCTCCTTATTTTGGTGTATCTGTATACAGAACTCAATCTAATAGAAATGGTCCTTAAGAAAGACCAACCCTTGGCAACAGCCTATACCTAGGAGGGGTTTTAGGTATGTAAGTAAGTAAGTAAGTAAGTAAGTAAGGGACCTTGAGAGAGCTGCGCACAAATAAATCCCCACAAACCTTCATGAACTACTTCGTAAAGAGGAGTTGGCCAAAATTCCTCCACAACAGGGAAAGTGATTTCTTCAAGCTGTTGCTGCTAAACGTGGTTCAACAAGCTGCTGAATCATGTCGTGTACTTACCTTTGCGCTCAATGTTTCTACATTTAGGCTTTTTGTTAAATTAATTATGACAAGATGAAATGTGACACGTGTCGTTCATTTGAGGCTGTATTTAAATGATTTTAAGACCTGCTAAGGTCATTTTTTAGTATGACTTGACACATAAAAAGGAAAGAAAACTAGTACACTTTTTCAATTCGGCGACTTTAACACATCCTACCGTTTTCCAGTGCAGCAGCTGGACTGATCAGTTCAGGATGCTCAGGAGAAGCTTCTCTCAGATACTCCCAACTCATCTAAGAATCAATACAGCCAGAGAACTCTTAGTTTATGAACTAATAAGATGATTTGCAGCTCAACTTTCACTTATTAACTGCTACTATTTAGTTGCGACCTGTATTAGTGTACTGGGGCTGGGCATGGCATCCTGCAGCTGCATCACTCCAAATAAAGGGTCAGGAGCTCCGTCTGTCTCCTCCAGCAGAGTCAGGACATCTGGCAGGACCAGAGATGGTCTGGAAAACAACGGGAAGCTCAGTGCCAGGAAACAGCTGTTACTTTGAGATTGAACATGAAGGTAAATATGCTGAGCATAATTTCTCACCTGCTGTGGTCATCCATATCAATTTTCTGTGAGGTTCTCTGTTTGACCAGCTGTCCCACAATGGACTGAAGTTCCTCTGAAAGGACAACAAATGAATCAACATCAGGATCAATTATGTCTCTCCTTCCTTCAGTGTGTAAATGCCTCCTTACCCAGAAGAATAGCACACTGCCGGTGGTAGACCACAACGACACCATACTGAAGTTGGGAGGACAGGTAGAGGGAGAATCGGGGTCGGGGCAGACCTGGACAAGGTGGTGCGACCCGCTCCAGCACGTAGTTTATGATGTCGTCGCTGGATGAGCATTAACTTCATTTTAATATGCAAGCAAGCTAAAAATGTGAGAAAGTGACTCAAATTACTTCTTACCAGGTGCTTCTAACGTTGATTTTCAGGAAATCCCGGCGGGGAACCTTGATGCCTTTCGTAGCTGCCAGCCTGAAATGGGCACAGGGGATTAATGATGACTCATGTTTTATTTTACTGAAGATAGAAATCAAGATTAAAAGCTAAAGAACGAATAAATAATGTATAATCTTTTAAACTGTGACAGAAAAGAACCAAAGACAGTCTGTGGTTGGGAAAAGTTTATGGTACCATTAACACGCGATTCACCTCCCCGTCCACTCGCTGTTGTGCTCCATTTTTAGAGTAAAACTTAGCAAGTATCAGCTAAAAATACCAATAGATTCTCATAGTTTTGACACCCTTTGATAGTCATTGTTGCATTTGGGCATTTTCGCTTTTGTCACATTTCTTGTTTGAAAATATTCAAAATATTTTCAGTCAGTGAAAGGTCTGGTCTGCAGGGAGGCCAGTCCAGCACCTGAACTCTTCTACTATGAAGTCATCCTGCTGGAATAGATGCAGTATCTGGCTCATCATTATCATTGTCTTGCTGAAATATACAAGGATTTCCCAGAAAAAAAAGCCTCATCTGGATGGGAGCGTATGTTGCTCCATAGGTAGCAACATACGCCATATGGCAGCATTCCCATCAGACATGCAGACTTTTCAACTGAGCACTGATATGAATGGTCCCTCTCCTCTTCAGTCCAGAGGATGCTCCATAGATGTTTTTTAATAATTTGTGGCTGGCACACTGAACTGTGTTGAACTTAAATGTTTCTGAGCCCTGCAGTGATTTGTTTTTGGCAGACTCACATGTTTTTCATGTAGCACCGCCTGATGGCCAGAAGATCACAAGCATCCAGTTTTAATTTCCAGCCCGTTCCCGCCTTGTGCACAGAGATTTCTCCAGATTCTCTGAATCTTTTAAATTTTATATACTGTAGATGATGAATTATTCAAAGACTTTGCAATTTTCATTGAAAAACATTACTCTGAAATCCCAGAAAGTTGATTCTATTCATCTGGACGTAATGTTTTCAGTGGGAGAAATGTTTCATCACTCATCCAAGGGACTTCTTCAAACCTTACGAACATCTTATAATTCTGTGATTGCAGCCATTCTCCAACTCTCTGTGAATGATACTCATGGCTGTTGATTAATGGTCATGCATCAAAATGTTACTCTGAAATTGTTCCACAATTTTGCAGATGCATTTTTTTTCCAGATTGATGAATCTGTCTATTTAAGATGCTGTTTTAATGCTCAGTTACGTTACTCTGCTCCGCTGCCAATTAAGTGAGTTGCAAAATGTTCCTCCACCTGTCTCCCCCTCCAGTCCAGCATCTTCCAGATATGTTGCTAACAAAAATTCAAACTGAGCTAATATTTCACATGATTAAAAATGTCTCAGTCGAAACATCTCATGTGTTTTCTATGTTCTACAGAGAGTAAAATATGGGGGTTTTAAAATTTGCAAATCACTCGATTGTTGTTTTTATTTTCATTTTACACCGCACAGGTCAGTGAATTCTTAAGTGTACTTAGGACAAATGTACAAATGTGTACTTTTTTTTTTTTAAAAAAGTACACATTTGTGTATGAAAAATGATTGACACATTAACAATTTACCAGTTTTTTACCCTTTAATAGATGCAGTTTCATTTGCTTTTCAGCTAAAAACTGATCGAAATGACTTTGATTATCATATATTTTTTTCACGGTTTTAAAAATGTCTGAAAATACCTTGAATAAATACAAAGATGGGAACGCCCTCATTTTACGATGTATGTAGCCTTTGATCTCTGTCTTCAAAGCTAGCGTCTTTCATAAACAAGGCTTCAAATACTTTAAACTTGATGTTTATGTTTGCTTAACCTCAGCTGCACCTGCACCGTGCGATCTTTTTTTTTTTTTTTAACACATTTAAATATACATATGGACTCAGAGGCAGAATGTGAGTTTTACATGCATAAAAATGTTGGTAAAATGTATGTAAAATTGATAAACTCCCCCCAAAACTAACACACAAGGTTATTTTCCTTGTGAGGAAGTACATACATTTAATTACTTTAACGGGTCGACAGAAACATGCTTCTGTTAGGCTTTTATAGACTAAAATATTAATATGTTTAACCACTTAAAATGTACTTAAACGCCCTGTTTTCTCTGGGTAAAGGAAGACTGGAACATAAAACGTAACCATCAGCGAGTCTGAATGTTTACTTCAGGGGTTTGTGCACATTAGCAACATTTTCCCCCCAGATTTAAGTATATTTATGATTAGAAACTAGTCTAAAATACCCATTTTCCTATTAAACGTAATGATTTTTAAAACATCTTATCAATAATGTTAGCTGACATGAAACGGCCTAATTAGCCTACTGCAAGCACTGTGGAGTACATCTATGTGTCGATTTTAACCAGGTTTTTACTCACCAGATGGTAGAAAAGCATCCTGTGTGACGCTTTAAAACTGTGGGATAGTAAAACATTTCAGCAAATTTTTTGATAAATCAGTTAATTAGCGGATAAAATCCGATAGATCACAGCTTCCGATCTACATCAGAGCTGATTCTCTCCACTGTGAGATATGAATGTTGTTTGTTTATTCTTCTGAGACAGGTGGTTGGTCAGTGCTGCTGTGAGAAATGACAACACTTGTATGATTTGCTGGTCACTCTGAGCGCTTGAAGTAACATTTAAAGAGAAATAGGCACACAAATGTTAAAGCTCGATTAAATAAAATATCAATACATTATTAAAAACGAACAAAAGGTCATAATACAGTTATTTTATTGTGAAGGGTTTGTTTCAATTCAGGACCTTTGGTTAGTTTCACAGAGAGGACATTTTATTGAGATGTAGAGGAACAATAAAATCAAGGCAGTAGTAATAAAATGTAAAATTTGAATTAAAAAACAAAACAATACACACAACTCAAACCCCTCCAAAAAAAGAACAAATAAAAACTCGGGGTACATTGTTGAGAGGGTTCCTTAGTTTAACTACAGGTAATGGAGGTCCCTGTGGATCACAGCAGTCTTCCTCGGCACTCGGTGGAGCCGCAGCAGCAGAGCAGGACCTTACCCTCCACGCTGCCCACCTCGTAGTTATAGTCCCAGGTCAGCTCTGTGCCGGCCCGGATCCTCCTGCACGACGACACAAACGGTGATGTCAGTGCAAGAACAAAACGTTAAGATGTTGTTAGGTACATATTCATTAACGCAAATGTCTAATCAGCCAATCACATGGCAGCAACTCAATTCATTTAGGCTTGTAGATACAGTTGAGACAACATGCTGATGTTCAGACTGAGCATGGCACGGTTCTTGTTGCCAGCTGTGTTGGTTTGAGTGTTTCAGAAACTGCTGATCTTCTGAGTCATCAGATATTGATCTATTAGAGAAACTGTGTGATGCTATCATGTCAATATGGACCAGAATCTCTGAGGAATGTCTCCAGCATCTCGTTGTCATGAAGAATTAAAGCTGTTTTGAAGGGCAAAAGGGCAGAGCAACCTGCCCTTTTACCTTACAAAGGGCAAAGGGGAGCAAGGTGAAGTGGCCAGATGAGTCTTCATTGTACGTTCTAGCCTTGAAACTAATAGTGAGAGTGGTCGACTGCTTGTTACAGAGTTCCCAGTCTAATGCCTCTCTCTTTCCCTGCACACACTGAGCCACAAGTGCTGTTTAGGCAGGTGGCATAAATCCAGTCCATTGCTGATAGGAACACCTTTCTGCAACTGTAAAACTATTCCTGTATGATCCGATGGCAGGCCTAACAATGACACAGCAGCGCCACCCTAAGGTTGCATTCACACAGAAAACAACACAGCATCTGTTTTTCCACTCAAAACTCCAGCCTGTTTAACAGAAAGCAAACATTCAGAGTAGTGCAGTCTCAGTGTTAGACATGATTAAATAATATAATTAATAAAAAAAACTCATCAAGATAGTTATGGATGATGGCCTCTCGCCCTGTAAGAGAGAAATCCCCTAAAATAAAACGGCACATATGTTGAACTTTACTCAACTTTAAACACACCTTCCTGTCAGTTTATTTGTAAGGATAAAGACAAGAATTCTACTGTTTTGCAGGCATGTTCAAGTACAGAAAATCTTGGATAATCTTTTCCTCTGTTTCAAAACTCACTTGCTGGCAAAGAAGGCAACCCAGGGAAACCTCAAGTCATGCGTGTCTACAAACACATTCTGGACGAAAAGGTTCGGACTGCAGCTGTGCTGTAACACAAACAGAGAGCAGAGGTGACGACGTCAGAGGAAAGTAATCAGAGCGGCGCTCAAGTAACATAAAACGATCACACAGCAGCAGATTCATACGTTGAGATAACGTCCGAGGTTTCCTTCCAACTTGGCATCAATGATGTAACAGGACTCTTCCCCATCAAAGAACTGGCGGGTGTTTTTAGTGGGAGTGTTGTCTCCGCCTCCTCCCGTCTGCCCCTGCTGTCCTCCTTTACCT